CCTTAAGGTAAAGCATCAAAATTTCTTAATCTTGGAGATGAGAAGCCTTATCGAAGCAGCGCAGTGTATGCCGCTGCTCTACATTCAAGCACAATCCCTTTCCGAATGCAACCCACAAGCTCAGATTCAAGTGAAGTGTCTAATTCTATGGATGTTAATACACTTATTCAGCTTTTAACGGGTCGTGGTAGACAAAACATGGTGGCGATTCTGGATTCTGCAATGCCAGCTCCTACATTAGCAGGAAAGCAATTAGAAAATACCCTCTTAACGGATTTGCAGGCGCTAACACCAGAAGTAACCGAAGATGTCGAAGACAATCAAGCAATTGAGTCAATGTGTATACTTGGAGCACTTAGATCAGAGGATAAAGAAGCATCGGTTTCAGAAGTGAAGAATGCGGTTGATGCATCTTACGAACAGGCAATAACCAAAACAAAGCCGTTGTTTTGCAACTTATCGGTTTCGCGTTGTCCTCTTCCGATACCATTACCGTTTCCTTCTATATTTGGTAACCTTGTTGGGAGGAAAGGTGAGATCTTGAGCAGTCCGGTCTCGGATTCTCTGTACAGAGGCTCATTGGATGTTCACTCCATACCAGTAGTAGCGAGATGGAGATCGTCGAGCGCGATTTTGCCATTCTTGGAAAGTAGAATGATGAATTTAGAGAAACTTGGGATCCAGTGGGGAGCAATGGGATCAGATTTGGTTAGAACATGGGGATTTGGGAGAGAAGAATTGCAAGAAATGAGAGAGAATCTGTCAAAAATGGTGTCTGAGCTAAATCCTCAGTTTTTGGAATCTTCAGATTCAGATTAAAGTTTAGAAAGTTACGTCTTAAAAACGGATATGTTGTATCATCATTTTTTAAAGATTTTAGCTGGTTTGGTTTTGAACTTTTTGGTTAAACCCGTTGTTAATTGCATAATCTAGTCCAGTTTGTGCAAATCCAAAAAAATAATACTTTCCTATAGCATTAGGAGGACCACTAATTTATTAATTATTATGCTTGCACTGTAATAATTGAAAAGAAATTTAAAAGCACTATAGAAGAAATAGCCAAAATTATATATACAAAAGAAAATTTATAAACATAATAAATTATGTTTTGTTTTGTTTTCCAAATTATCACTAAAAACTTTGAATTCTAAACACCACAACATTTAGTTTTATGAAACTTTATTAAATTTCTAGGAAAACGTCATAAATGATTAAAATTTTTACCTAACCAACAAACCAAAACTTTTACGAGAAAGAAAAAGTAAAACGAAACAACACTCATGGGTTAATAAAAAATATATATATAATTCAATAACTAACCAAAAGTGCATTATGTGTTAAAATCTTAGCCATTAAATCTTAAAATATTGGTTAATTTTTGAATTATAATTTTTTATTTTTTTGGTTATTGGACCTTATTTCCCAAAATTTAATTGAAGTGGTTATGAAAAAAAAGTCAAAAAATATTAATTGGAGAGGACCAACAATTCAACGTGTGGACGTGCTATTGAAATGGTAGGCCTGGGTGCAGAGAAAAAATACTGAAATTTTTTATTTGTTTTTGCCGAAAATCTAATTTTTTTATTTGTTTTACTTCAAAAAATTTCAAATATTCGGAATTACGGATATCCAGATATTTACGGATATCAATTTTAAAAAAATAATAATAACTAAAACCCTATATTTATTTATTTTAAAAAACACTT